TTTTTTTTTTTGGTTTTGTTTGTTCTTCGCCCGTATCTCCACTTTTCTGTTGGGTTCCTTGCGTAGTGCCGGCATGAGGTTCATATGCCCGCATTCACGCTGTTGTCGTCTTGTTTCGGTGCTTTGAGTGTTGTTTCCTTGTGTTGCTGCTCTTGCTTCTTCTTGCTCTACTCGATCTCGTTGCGTGACTGCGGCCCTCGCGAAGGGGAGTGCGTGGCCCACCACGAGCATTCACATACATCCAGGCTCACAAAGCACGGTAGAAGGGAGGTCTCTGGCTGTCGTTGTTAGGGAGAAGAAGGAGACAGTAGCACCAGCAGGCAGGAGGAAAAAGGAATAATAGTAAAGCGGGACACACACCAGCAGAGATAGGCAGGCAGGCATGTCGTTCACGAGGGGAAGCGAGCTTCTCTTCAAGATCCTTATTATTGGCGAGGGCGGCACCGGAAAGACGTGCCTCATACGCCGCTACGTGCATAGTATATTCCTCGCCACCAACAAGGCCACCATCGGCGTCGACTTTGCCCTGAAGGACATCGTGCACCCGGCCACCAACCGCAACATCACTCTGCAGCTCTGGGACATCGCGGGGCAGGAGCGGTACGGGCAAATGACGCGTGTGTACTACCAGGCAGCAGCAGGCGCCGTCGTCGTCGCCGACATCACACGCCCCGAGACGCTCGACCTCGCGGTGAGGTGGAAGCAGGACGTCGACAGCAAGGTGTTCCTCGGCGCGTCGGGCAAACCGATCCCGTGCGTTCTGCTCATCAACAAGGTGGACCTGCTGCCGAATGGCGTGCTTGCTGCCGCAGCGAGCGGCGGCCAGCCGTCAGTGGCGGGCAGCAGCGGCGGCGGTGGCATACAAATGACGAAGGAGGAGATGGATGCCTTCTGCGCTGAGCACGGCTTCGAGGCGTGGTTTGTCACGAGCGCAAAGGATAACAAGAATGTGGACGTCGCGTTCAGCGCGCTGGTGGAATGTGTCTTGAAGGCGACGGGTGCCCTTGGCGGCGGCGAGGGCGATGGTGATGCCGCCGCAGACAAGAGCAAAAACGGTGGGAGAGTCCTCCACAGCAACAGACCGAAGCGTGAGGAGAAGTCCGGCTGCGCGTGCTAGTAGCAGTGGTAGTTGTAGCAGTACTAGTAGTGGCGGCAGGGATGGGATTGGGACGCTGAGCGAGTGTTATGGGCGAAGTGGCCCGAGAATTTGATGTCGAAGACTCAGATGGCCTGAATGTGTGTAGGGCGGGTGTGGAGTGGAGGGGAATGAAGAGACGCATGCCAGCCCGGGCCCTCGTGAAGGTGTGTGTTTAGATGGTGTGTGGGTTTGTGGCGCTCAGCGGTACGGGAAGGCCCTTTTTTTTTCTTCTTGAGAAGAGGGCTCTCGAAAAGTAAGGAAAGGTAGAACACAGAGCCAAAAGGCTAGAAGCGAAAAAGTTTAGAGTTAACGGCAGGCATCAGCAGGGAGTAAAAGTGAGTGAGTGAGTGCGAGGGAGAGAAAGAGAGTTGATGACAAATGAAGAAGGTTCCAGTACATGACAGGGGGAGGGGGTGTCGTCTAAGGGGCTGTTGCTTACTCCAAGTGAGGCTTTATTGTTTCGCAAACGAACGGTGGTCATTCCACTAGGTGCTGCCTGCTATCACCTATTCTTGGGGCACATATTTATATATTCATGCGATGTATCTGTGTGCGTATATTGATTTGGCGGCTCCGAACGGAGAGGAATGTGTGCTGTGTGGGTGATCCCACTCGTTGAATCATGGCGTTCGTGCGCGTCTGCGTGTGTGTTTTTTTTTTTT